TCTTCTCTAGGTCAACCAAAGTCATCACTTTCTTTTCCCCTAATAATAAATGAGCAACTTTTATTTAAAATATTTTTTCATATCTTTTATATTTGACGATATTTCATTTGTGTATTATCACTTAAAATTTAAGTATCACTTGAAATGACCTTGTGTTGTACACGCACACGCACGCACGCACGCACATATATATGTATACACAAAATGTCATTTCAAGTGACACTTTTAAGTGATACAGGGTGTCATGAATATATCCGCTCCACTCATCCCGAGGTAGAGCGGACTAAACTGAGTAGAAAAGTCTTGTATCATTTTGCAATGCTCGTGACAATTAACGAGATATTAATGTTTAAAGAGCCGAATACGCGTACCTACTATTGCCGAAGGTATGGCCCATTGTGCGCACAGCGCGCCGCGCCGTTCGAGTTTAGAGGCTCGCGGCGGTGAGCGCCTGTTAGACCATTCTAAATCTTAATATTTTTTGATAAAAATTTAGGGGTGTTCTTTTCGCATGAAATGGAAGCTTTTAAGCTGAGAGGCCGATTAAAAAAAAATTTTTTTTTATCAGTCTAAAATATTGTGCACGCACGCACGCACGCACGCACGCACGCACGCACGCACGCACGCACGCACGCACGCACGCACGCACGCACGCACGCACACTATTAACTACTCAAATACTATTAACTTTACAGAAAAAGATACAATAAGATAAGATTTACTGTAAAAGATGAAAATTATTTATTTTCTTCTCATAGAGCTCTAAGAATTTTTCAGAATATTTTAATACCGTGTTTTCTCATGTTGATAAAAATGAGAAAATGCAGTATTTCATGAAAAATTATTTTATTATAATGCTTTGGAAAGCTCTCGAAGTGTGCTACAAGAATATGCAATGAAAAATAGAGGGTTTCATTTAAAAAATTCAAAATGACATTGCTCTGACCTTCGTGATGCCACCCAAGGTCAAACTGATCAGATCACTAAATAAATCATTTAGAACCCCACAACTTTCATCTGAAACATTTTTTTTTAATGTTCTGTTTCCGAGATAAAAGGAAAGTACGGGTGGTCTAAGACGCCCTGTATAATTATTCGATGAAGTTCTCTCGTATCGCAACGCACCACCGTCTAATCGTCGAGTGCGCACCTTCAAAAGGCCTTCAGGCGACTTTTGCAATGCCTGGGAGCAGTCAAGCACTGACTTTTTACACTCTTTATCTGTATATTACAAAAAAAATCAGGCAGTATCAAATGACATAAGGACATCTTATTTTTTTACATTTTCCATAACCAGACAAATTGCGTAACTGCTTTATACAGCATCATCATTACTATTTTTTAGTTTTTAAACTATTACACAAAAAAGTTTCGGGTGGTATCAATGACGTTTGTGCATTGAAATTTTTGGCGATGTTCGGGTGAGATCAATGACGTTTGTGACGAAACTTTGGAGTGCAGTTCTGTATCGCAGCCGATCCAGATAGCCAGGTATTGGCTTATCTTTTTTTGGCACTACTTAGACTAACACCACAAAAATTTTTAGCCGGTCAATCACAGAAAAAATTGTCCCGGACTAATAGAATAACATATTAATAACGTCTCCCTGAACGCATCCCTATCTGATGTTTATAAACAATGCCATCGATATTACAGTGCAGTAGCAGTGTAGCACGATGCGGACACTTCGAACATTTTCTTTAATCATTCATAACTAGAAAAATAAGATTTATTATATAAGAAATAACAAATAAAAACAATTCTCAAAAATGGCAAATATAAGAAATAAGGCAAATAAAGAACTAATGAGAGTTTTTACGCGGGAAAAATTTCAAATTTAATAAATAATAAACGGAATTTCAGACGTTTCGGCTATTCTTCAATTCATCTTCAATATGTCAATCATACATTTTTTTTCTATTTCCTCATAGCGAAACGGAAGAATAGCGATCCAATCTATCCTTATTCAATTGACACATGGTTAGCAGGTCAAGTGACAACAAACAGCTTACTGAAATTCCGTATAGCCGCGGGAATCATATATCTCAGAAAGTAAAAAATTACATGGATTCATTGTATTTCAGATTGTGCCGATTATAATGAGAAACGATTTTTACAAAAGTTAACTTTCAAATATTTGAAAGTAAATAAAGAAATCAAATATTTAATTTCTCGTTATATATTTTCTTGATTTCTCGTTATATATTCTCTTGTATATTACATAAGGACATACATTCATGACATCTTTTACTTATTTAGTATAATATGTAGATTCACTCTTTAAAATATTGACATTTATTTATAAATCACCCTCTATGTATGTGTATATACAGGATGTCTCTTAAGATGGGTCGGGGCCATATGGGGGTGGAGAATAAATTAAAGGGAACAAAAAATTTTTATACCATTTTGAAATATTCGCTGTAGTTTTCGAATTAGAAAAAAAAACGTCTAAGATAATATGCGGTTAAGCGCCGCGCGAATTCGTAGGACGACCCACATTCGAGCGGTGACGGCGGCGGCAGCGCGTAGGAAGGGGGAAGGAGCGCTTCATGGCCCCGATTCATCTTAAGAGACACCCTGTATATATTCACGCACGCAGCACGTATCGTACAACCACTGCCTGTCCTTTTAAGAACGGGTTCTTTGGAACATTTTAAGATGAAAATCCTCCTAATACGAAAATCGAAGCTATGATAGTTTTTAAATCAGCGATTGAAGTTCTCTGATCACGGAGCTGATATTTCGCGTGCTCAAGCATGATGATACAAATGGTAAAGGTGCTTCATGAGACTCTTATCAGCAACTTTGAGATTACAAATATGCAATTATATTTATTAATATTTTTATTAAGAAATTGTTTTTGCTCCTATATGAAATTTATTTACCGTTCAAATTACATTTTACTCTCACATGCCTTTATCATTATAGTTTAACCCTTTCAGTCACAGTGGGTTATATAAAGGACACCGTTTTGGCTTTTTTTTACCATATCTTTTGTTTTCAGAGTAAACTCACGGAGTTTTTTACATTTTCAGATAAAATAAGATTCAAAAACTTCAAAAAGCAAGGCATGATTATCTAATAATTTTTATTTGTTGTAAACAAATTTATATCAAAAATTGCATGTTTTTCCAAATTTAATTCATTTGTGGCAGATTTTGACAATAAAGATGCATTGAAAATCATTGTTTCCAATGTTTTTGAGGTCGCTGAATTCAAATCCGCTATCAGATTTTTAAAAATTCAAAATGGCGGATCTAATATGGCGGCCAGAATTATAAAAGTCATTTTTGCAATCGGTCAATTATTATTGCATTGAATCAGTTATTTTTAACACTACATATTATTGTTTTTAATATATTGGGTATGGGAATAAGTTTATGGGATTAAGTTTAGTTTGAGAATAAGTTTAAAAATTATTAATTTTTTGATACGCCATCTTGGATTTGACTTTTTTTTATAATTCGACCCCGGATTCAGATTCAGCGACCTCAAAAACCTAAACCACTTTCTGTAATGATTTGTTACATCTCCTGAATTGCGTGACTGAAAGGAAAGGGTTAATATTGAAAATCACAGAGGCATAAAAACGAACTCTATTTGTATGTACATTATGTATGCATAATTAATATTGGAACATATCACAAAATATTAATTCAATAGCGAGATATTACATGTGTCAAAATAAATTCATAACTATGTTCGTTCGCTTTGTAAACATTTTTATAATATCAGTAGCTAAACTATTTTAAAAAAATAAAATTAAATATATTGATAAAGTCAGGCTAAAACATGTCAAATATCTATTTAATCCCGACACTTGTGTACCTATTTAATAATCCCGACACTTGTGTACCTATTTAATAATCCCGACACTTGTGTACCTATTTAATAATCCCGGTATACATATTCTTGTAGTAATTATTATAGTAAAACTGAAGAAAGTTAAAAGTATAAAAATTGATATAAATTACATGTGAATACCATTAAAATACATAGACACAGTAAACTGATACTCACAACTCTCACTTATAATTAAAAATATATAAGTGATGAGAAAATTATTTAAATACTTTATTCTCTTTCTAAACTATAATTTAAAATCTTTTATATTATTTTTTAACATGTCATGTATAGAAAACAAACTAAATTAAAATTGAAAAGTGCCCTATGCGATCGATATTGCATTTTACATATGCCTAAATAAATATTTAGGCCTAATCATACTTGTTATGTTCAATCAATGTTGCTTAATAACAATAACTTTATATAAATTTTTACATTTTATAGTTTTATAAACTGTCAATTACTATCAGACTCGAAACGCATTCTTAAAAAAGCTATAATAAATAATATACAGTAAAATATTTATTTCAAAAACATTAAGGTATTAATATTATTTCAACTTTAAAAATGAGATTCATTTATTTGGCTAATGAAAATTATATTATTTATTTATAAATAAATGTACATAAAAATACAAAATACAGAATGACACTAAATGCTCAAATTGAATGTCATCTTTATGCACAAAACTATTAAATAATAATAATGATTTATCATTATTTAAATAACGCCTTAGAAATCAATATTATTCTTTATTTATTCCAGCTTTCTTAAGATTGCGTTTCAAATCCGACAGTAATCGGTAGGTCGTAAAACTGTGAAATGTATTTAATTTTTAGTATTTAAAGAATTCATCGCTCATAAACTTATACGTATTTTAATTATATAAGTAAGAATTATGTATACCGATTTATTCTGTTTATAAATTTTAATCACATACACATGTTCTGATATAATTTATATCAATAATCATACGAACCTTATTGGACCGTACATTGGAAATTCAACAATAAGGAATAGAAATAATGGCCAAAGCTAAATCTTTAATGCTTAAATAATTCAATCTGAATTACTGTATACGAGGTCCCATTTTCATCGATCACCTCAAATATTTCTTGAAAAGTTTTAGAAAAAAATGTTTCAGACAAAAGTTTTGGGACTTCAAGAGAGACATAAGATGATGCCATTGGTTTGACCTTGGTTGGCATTGTCAAGGTCAGGACAAGGTGAATTTTTTAAAAAGAACCTCCCATTTTTCATTACATATTCTTATAGCTTACTTCGAGAGCTTTTCAAAACACTAAAATATTTTTTCTTTAAGGCTCCTGACTAGTCGCAGCGACCATGTTGGAATCGTGACATCAGAAGCGAGGAATGATACGTTAATTATATTGCGTGCCATTTTTAAATGAAGACAATTTGGATGAAACGAAATGACTTTAATTACATGTGTTTAAAAAAAAAAATTCTTGTAAAAATCGATAAAAACTGTCCTTTCCTCCCTTGACAGTCAGTAAATGATCGTAAAAGGCACGTAAAGTGAGCCGATATTGTGTTAATGATTCTGTATCGCCATCGTCAACGCAGACAGAATTCTTGACTGAGTAGTCAGGAGCCTTAAGTACTTTGCAAGTTATAAGGCTTGAAAGTTACAGTATCATCAGCATTAGCATTACCCAAGATGTCCAACCAACGGCTAAAACTTCTTGAATGTTGTTCAGGATCTGGATAACATTTATTAAAATCAAGACCATTGGAGGTTATATCTCTTATTTTTATTTTTATGTAGAAATGAATTTTTAGTGCAAAAATGAAAATAAGAGGAACAATTTCCAACTTTAATCTTGAAAAATGTTATCCAGGTCCTAATCCTGAACAACATTCAAGACGTTTTAACTATTAATCGGATACCTTAGGTAATGCTAATGTCGGCAGTGCTGTAACTTGCAAGCCTTATAACTCAAAAAATACTTCATAGAAATTAATTTAATTATAGTGTTTTGGAACTCTCGAGATAAGCTACAATGTAATGAAAAATTGGGGGTTCTATTTAAAAAATTTGAAGTGACCTTACCCTCACCTTGACAACGCCACCCAAGGTCAAATCAATGGACCACCATCTTACGTCTCCCTCAAAGTCCCAAAACTTTTGTCCGAAACATTTTTCCCTAAAATTCACTGTTCAACAGATATTTGAGGTAATCGATTAAGGTCAGGCCCTGTATACTATACATGTACACACACCAACAAGAATAGTGTTTCCTGGCGTTCAGCACGGCGCTACACACTGGTACCGAAGCGCACACGTGTTACTGGAAACGCGGAGGAGGCGAGGAGCGCAAAGGGAGAATCTGAGGGACAAAAATTTTTGAACGTTACGGCAGTTCTGTTGACAGTTCTGGATAGCACCCCAAGAGTTCTATCGAAAGTAATTATCATTTAAAGCTAAGACTATAATTTAAAGCTAGGACTAATGATTTAGAAGATATGATTTTTTTGTTCTGCACTTTGTGAAGTTGACACCTCAAATTTTTAATTTTCGATTTTTTTATGTTAATTCGCCAGAATTATTTTTAATTTTGGGCTGGAACTCCAGAACTCTTCGGGTGCATTTGGAACTGTGACCAAAATTTCATTTTTTGAAAAATGAGGTATCAACTTTACAGAGGTTACAAAAATGTTTATAAAACGAATGAAGATAGTTATAAATTTATTTTGACACATGTCAATGTCTCGCTGAATTAATATTTTGTAGTATTATATTCAATATTAATTATGCGTACATAATGCACAAATAGATATTATATAAAAGAAAGAATTTCTTATTAAAAATATTGCATATTTATATGATAATCTTAAAATTGCTAAAAGAGCTCTCGTGGAGCACCTTACTACCTATCATATCATCGTAAAGTGCACGAAATGTCAGCGCCATGAGAATTTTAGTCGCTGCTAATTAAAAAATCAATTGTCAATTTTCATGTTTGGATTTTCGTCTAAGAATACATCAAAGAATCCATTCTTAAAAAGATCTAAAAAAGTTTTTAAAAGGCAGTGATTGCGCGCGCGCGCGCGCGCGTGTGTGTGTGCAAATTTTATATTAGGTGTTGGAATTAATTCGTAGCGTTTTTAATGAAAGAATGTTATTTATTTCACATGAGCATTAAAAAATACATTAATGAAAGTACTTCCCATCACTTGTAAAACGCTACGAATTAATTCCAACACCTAATATGTGTGTGTATATATGTATAAAATTATAACATTTGTAATAATTATTTATTTATTTAAAGTAGAAAATATGTTAAAGTTCGTAGGAGATTTTTAGTTCAGTGTAGAATTCAATAAATGTGTATATAAAGTATTAATATAAAATTATTAGCTTACAATCCTGATACGATGACCCATAGCCTTGGCCGGCAGATTTCTCTTAAACTTAGCACGCACCGATCCACTTGCACCATGAGGCCGAGTCACTTTGCCCCAAATGGCTCTAACTTTTGTTTTTTTCGTAGTCTTTCCAGGTACTGGAGTTTTATTCTTAGCCTGAAACAATTTCATATGTAGGATGTCTATTGATAATCGATAGTCTTATTAAATAATTGCTTAAGAAAATTCTTAACAATAGGTACATTTTTAGCAATATAAATTACATTTTCAATTATATCTGAAATAAATTGACTTAATAAAGAATATATATTGTTAACAAAAAGAAGAGCATAAAACCACAGCACAAGATATTCTTTGTGATTTTAATATATAATTAGTTTATAAATAATTTAGACATTTCGGCCACAATCTGGCTATCTTAAGTGAAATTACAAATATCCATAAAACACAGAATTTACATAAATCTAACATTAAATTCAGTGATCATAAATATACATCAACGTATTCTTTTCTCTTGTAGAGTACATCGTAAAACATGATTGCAGCGCCAATCATATTGCAAATTATGTAGAATAAGAATTGCCAGATTCTGTTTTACAGACAAAATAATGAATCTTAAGCACTTTTTTCACGTAGATGGAAATTCGTGACATTGTGTATTATTATTTTCCTGTGTTTTATGGATATTTGTAATTTTATTGAAGATGGCCAGATTGTGGCCGAAACGTCTAAATTATTTATAAATGTAATTATATATTAAAATCACAAAGAATCTTGTGCTGTGGTTTTATGCTCTTCTTTTTATTAATTTTTGATTTATAAATCACGTTTGTTATAATTACGTTTGTTAATATATATTGTATTATTCGGAACATCTAACTTTGACTGTGTTGGCATTTTCTGTGTAGTGATGTATTCATATATATAGTTTCTTAAGTCTTAATAATGTTTATAAATTATATTCTTAAATTAATGTTAAACCAATATCCTGTAATATAATGAAATTTTATAAAGAGAAAATATTATTAAAAAGAAACAAAGAAATTTTGACAATATGATTCTATAAAAATATTTTATATGTTACTAAAGATTTAAACAATAGGTGTAGTAAGCAAGTTTTTCCTCTAAATTCTGAGCTAATTAACTGACATTAATTTACTTTAAGCTTTAAACTTTACAGTGATTTGGTCAACTTGCTTAAAGCTTATGCTGATCCTACAATAAGTTGGGAATCTTAAGTCTTAACCAGTCTTAACCTAAGTAATTGATTTTTTGTATCTACAAGTTGTTAGTTGTACAGCAAATTATTTAGCTCAATTGATGGAAGATAATAAAATCAAATTTGGTCAATCTTAAGAAAGTCTTAGGACCATGGCAAAAAAATTTAAGCAATAAAATGTAAGCAAATTGACCAATCACAGTAAAGCCCTTAAGGTTAATGTAAGCAGTAGCCAATCCAACATGTTGATTTCCTTATTGCTTACGTCTTATTGCTTTCAGTTTTTTATGCGCCATGGCCCACCATATAATTGGCCAACTTCATCAATTTACTGATAAGGATATATCCATACAAACTTGTATAATTATATAAATGTATGCATAAAGAAAATTATCCAATCACGTTTTATATACGTCTTTATAAAAAAAAAATTCAATTGGATAATTTTCTTCATGCGGCTATGAAAGTTTGTGTGGATAATAATCTAATGCTAATTCTACTACATGAGTCGATAGTTGGAAGTCCTAAGTCTTATCAGTGAAGTATTGACCAATAGGCAACTTGTATGACTAAGGCCAGTTTCTAATATAGTTTAATTTTAATCTCGATTTAACTAATTCTTCATCTTTTTCCAATTCTGAGAATTAGAAAAAGACAAAGAATAAAGAATAATTGAACTGAGATTAAAGTTAATCTACATTGGTAGAAAGTCTTAAGGTCCAGTCATGGTTAACTCTTAACCAAGGTTTAACTTATTCCTCAACTTTTTCTAATACTAGAATAAGTTGAACCTCAGTTAAGAATTAATCATGAATTGTGAAATTGGGCTCTCTGATCAGCCAACTTCACAGATTAAGACTAAGATTTTCGACCAATTCATTGTAGAATCAGCATATGACTTAGAACTATCGACTCATTATAGAATCAAATTTAGAAATTATAATTGAATGTCAATAATACTTTTCAGTGAAAAATTATATTACAGTATAGAACTCAAAAAGACAAATACTTATTACATCTATAAACCAAGTCAAAATTAATTTGATGTTTATGTTCTTTAGACAATGTCACAAACAGGCCTTACTTTATATACATAAACGCATCGTTTTCCTACGTAGAAATCAGAGTCTCTTTTTGTGCCGGCCCCTTCAATCTTGAGTAAGGCAGTGTGCTCGTGTTGATTGCGCAATCCGCGTTTATAACCGGTGAAAATTGCTTTTGCATACAGACGCCCATGTCTCTTGAAGGGTCTTTTCCTCAGTGGCGTCTCCTCTGGAGCGCTTTCTTTCATCTTGGGCACTTTTGCTTTGCTCGTCATTTTCTAACAAAAATGTAAAAGTATGATGTAAACATCATGTAAAGCAATCTTTAACAAAAAAGATGACAAAAAAATACTGAAAATAATAATTAATAAGTATACACTGAATGATGGAAGAAATGTAGGTATACAATTACACATAAAAACAGCAGTAAATACAAATTTTGAGAAATTGCTATGTGTAAAACTTTAAATATTTTGTTAAACGTAACGACTGATAAGTGTGCACGTGCAATTTCTTGTATCATGCATATATTTTATTAGATCGTAAACGCTAAATGCCACATGAAACGATCATAATAATCCGTTGGAATCGCTGAAAATTAAGTAAGATATAACAAAACGAATAGTCGCAAACTAATTTGACGTAACGTTACACAAAATGCTTTTATTATTTTTGTGAAAGATTAATTATACCTACAAGATTTTTATTATTAAATAAGGAAATCTCTTATTACCAAAACGTACCTAACGTATATCACGAACTAAGAGAACAGTGATACTAACACTCGAAAAAAAAAGTTAAACAGCAGGGCTGC